AGTATGAGGAACCACTCATGATTACAGCATTCTTCAAACCTCGGGCTCTACGAGGTGGCTGAGGTGCATGAAGGACTTTCACAGCCTGAGAGGACTCTGTCGGGACAAGGGGATCCCTACGACCTTGAGCCAAAATAATGCGCGACGCAAGGCCGCATGCTTAGAGCACAGATCTCTCAACATGTCTCAACTGAGGCACCTGCCATTCGGTCTTCAAAGGAAACAACGTTACAGTACATAAGGATACTCCTAGTATGACATGTGTGCCAAAATTGTGAGAACACAAAGAACACATTCAAGATGTGCATCTTGTTGGAATCTGCGCGCCCAGTGAGCCCTACTATGCAATCACTATGCCATTCCACTATGCCTTCCGTGCCATTCATGAAGTGAGCAAAGTGTCCCTCATCCCACAGCAACTCAGCCTTGTAATCGTGGATGAGAGCTCGGCTCTAAGTCCTGTCTTTGTCTTCCGTATGTGACCAGGGTGTGGTCGAAGGCATAGCTAACACCTTGTGACCATATATGATTGTATATGATTGTATGTGACACCGGTAACGCAACTGAGCAGTGGGGCCGATTCCAAGAATATGTCGAACGCAAGCGGCGGAAGTGCCAATGCCAAACGATAAACACAACTGGGAAGGTGGGGGTCTGTAAGTGAGACCTGGTTCGCAGCAACATGAAGCGCGTGACGAGACCTGTTCCCCATGTGCAGACTGGGTGGCAACTTAAGTTAGCTGTTAGCCGCACAATTCCGTGAAGTGCGGGTGACAGCTGATAGCTGAAGAATCTTTAGGTAACAATACCAGGGCCTTCCGTTTGTCCGGTCGTTTTTGGACTGGCCTCTGAGAGGTGCCTCTTATATATAGACACCTCTTGGTGTCGGTCCTGGTAACTCTACTGCTCTCAAACCTTGGTCGGCACCACATGTTGTGCATCCTGGACAATCGACTTGATCTCATCCAGCCCGTGCCCGTCGTACCTGCAGCTGGTCACATACAGTTACACAACTGCCCTTGCACAAAGTTCATGAGATTCAGTCCTTGGTCCGCCCTAGGTATCCCTCCAATGGCTCAGCCCAGCGCAATCTATGCAATGCAACGTCTGGATGAGCATATTCAACCCCTGCTCTGCTTTCGAAGGCCAGGGTGGATTTGCTGAACACTGACCTGAGCCGCGAAATCAAAGAGCCCGTTCAGGTGGGACGTCATTGGCAAAACGTGTTGAAACTTGGCGTCGCCATCTTTCCCTGATTAGTTAGGGATCCAAGTACCTTCTCAAAAGGCACTTGGACCCTCCAAACCCACCCCAAACACCCTCTAAGAAGGTCCTTGAATCCCTGGGGGTTCAAGGCAGTCCCGGCGTTCGCCGGCAGTCCCGGCGTGAAACACGGCCGTGGCCAGGCGACGGACACGGCGCCTCCAAAACCGATGATCCGCATCGACGGAACTCTGGTTCTCCGAGAGCTGCCACCTGAGACTCGTCAGGAGAGCTGGATAGGCTGGGCTGCAGCCACGGGTCTCCGTGGAGCTGATTCTCTACAAATACATATGCAATTGCCCTATATATTGTACCATATTATTATGCAATCTCTTTCACTACATGCGACTGGAGATCATGTTGCGGACTGAGATGACCTACCAAGCCGGCGATTGCCAGGAGCCCAATGTCGTCTTTGGTACAAAGAAGTCGCTCTGATCAGCCACGTCGAGAAAAACTCCACCGATCGCAACGCATGCGTTTTGGGGTCCTATGCTCTCAAACGTTGCTAACCAAAACCATACAAAAACCATTCAAAACCCTGAAAGCCGCCACCGACGATGGTAGTCTGAGATTTGTTTCTCTGCAGGTTCACTATTGGAAACCTTTGTGGCTCGCGCAAGTCTTCAAATTGGTGCCCATCGAATCAAGTCTCCACCACAGTCTCTGCCCCTCCTTCTGGCCAAAGGGCTCTTCAGCAGGCAAGGCCTGCAAGGTCTTGAGCATCTCCTGTATCAGGGATCCCCTGTCTGACTGGCTGAGCTTAACACAGCAACTGCTGCCTCCTCAAATCTCCTCAAGCCTCTACCTTTTGGTAATACTATGAGTTGGTCTCTATTTGTTGGTGCTGGGGTCTAGCAAGCGGCCACTTGTGACCACTTGTGGGATACCAAACGTGAATATTGGTTGGTGTGGGTGTAGAGTTCGCCTCCAACCTACGCAATGCCAATGCCTGTCGTCTTGACAAGAATTGAACGTCCGAGCCATCTCATCAAACGTCATCAAACTCATCCCTCGCATCTTCAAGTCTTCCCCAATTCCAAAACCCCAACAGTGCAAAGCCTGTGGGATTCCCAGGCCCTGCAAACCACATGTTCAATGGATGTCACCCCCTCTAAATATACTGTCTTCCCTACACTGCCAACCGTCCAGAACGGTTGATCAGTCCTCTGCCAGGCTATTGGGCAAGAAGTCCTTCACTTGAACCAAGCCGCCCTCCTGCGAAGCGGCACAGAAGCCGTGGGGAGTCACTGTTGAAGGACTGATGAAGCGTACCGTATGCAGCACAGGGTCACCCAATCCACATTGCCTCCAGTTTGTGGTGGTGCAATGCCCTATAGACTTGCCGCACCGGTCGTCAAAATAATCCGGTGCCGGCCGGTCTTGCTTTGAAGGAAGTCACTATGACTGGACCTACAGGGCTGGGGCGAGCCCTGATGTGGGCGGGATTCAGCCAACCACATAGGTTTCGGCGGGCTTTTTGTATCACATGATGGCTTATGATGGCCATGGCTATCTATGGCTATCTATGGCTCAGTGGCATGAGAAACGTAAGACTAGCCGACTAGCCGCCTGAGCTGATGTAGGTTCATACAATAGTTTTAGCTGGCACTCACTGGTCTCGATCTCGAAGTAAAGTGTCTCTCCAGCGCTGTGGGCATCTCGACAAGTTCAGGTTTCTCGACAACTTCAGGCATCAGGATTGGTTCCAACAAGAACGAGAGAGTCATTGAAAGCTCGATGGGCGGATTCTCATTGAAATCCTTCGATTTATAGTTTGAGAGTTGTCCAAGGCAAAAGTGCTTAGAGGTGTGACCTGTTCTTGTGCCATCTTGTGCCTGTATAGCAGCTCGTGTGGTAGCTGTAGCTCCTATAATAAGGTTGAACTGGTCATCCTGATGAATTGTGATCATAGGGGAACTTTTAGTTGTTCAAGGGAGCATGGCTTGTTACAGAAGAGTGCATTTCTATATTGTTTACATCTTGAACACAGGCCGCGTCTTTTGCCTGCAAGGTATCTGCCCACCACCGATGCCACCAAAGCCACCACCCTGATTCCCCAGCCTGCTGGAGGAAACAACGCCTCGGCTGCAGAAATCAAAGAAATCAATTTTGAGTCTCGGAGATCCCTAGCTCACTCCAGCGTCCAGCGAGCCCAGCCTCCCCCTCCGTCTTCAGCCCAAGCCACAGGCCGTTGCTGCGCACCTCCGAGAAGAACTCCTCCCCGCCAAGGCGTCGCCTGAACCACGCAGGAGAAGACACTGACGCTGCCCAGCTGGAATACGAGGGTGTCAAACTTCAAGGATCTTCAAGGTATATGCTTGTGTTGGCAATGGCAGCCATACATCACCAACCATCAAATAATGGCAGCTTTGTGAAAAAAAGCGTGCTCTAGTAGTCCTCCAGCCTTGATTTGAGGAACTATGATCAACACGGTCACAAAGAGACGCACCACCGAGAACTCCTCAGCACCGCACCACCATCCTCCCCCCACGCAGCGCCGCAGCGCCCGTCTAAGGTTCCAACCATGGCGCTTTCAAACGGCCCGGCACCTTAAAGTCCGACGCCGTCTGACCCCGATGTTCCTCGAAAATGACCATCCTCGATGTTTGCACTCCAGGCGTGAAAAGGTTGAGTCAAAGGATTGAAAGCCATAGGGCTCTGGAGGGTTGAACATTGACATTGAGCCATAAAGGTCCTGAACATTCCTGAACCATGTTCACGCAGTCCGGTGCGCAGTCCGGATGTGTCTTCTTTTGGAGGGGGGGGGACACCTGGGGGCCAAGTACCAAGCTGAGTGCCAGTAGGTCTGCTGCCTTTAACTACGCTACAGGCTGCGGCTATGGTGTCTTTCTTCTTGTTTTCCTGCACAAGTCCATACGTTTCGCCAGGCGAACCCCCGTCACCCTTGGTGCCATTGTGGCTTGGTCCCACCAGTTCTGCCCTGCCCGGCTTTTTCTTTCGCGCCCAGGTCCAGCCGCACCGGTTCACATCTTCCTGGATCGAGGAGACCAGGCCGTTGTAGGACCTGGTCAGACCGATGTGAGGGCGAGAAAACCAGTGCGATCTGTACCAACCCTAGGGCTCCAGCCGTACCTCCTGAGAAGGTCTTTGGACATATTTGGACCCTCTAAACCTACTCCAAACACCTTCTTAGAAGGTACGACTGGAGCCCTAGGGCAATACAAGTCTCCCCTACAAGGCACTCAGACTCATGAAGCTTCCGTCCACTCCGATTTGATGCCCGTCTCGAACTTGAACAGTCACTAACTCACGTTGAATGAGTGCTGCGCTAGCATCCGTGAATTTAGATGTGTTGTCAAACACAGTCAGAACTTTCTTAAGCCGACCCTAACTGCGCAAAAGTATTGAAGAATCCCACTATACGTCGAGGTCTTGTGCTTTTCTCCCAGTTAGGACACCCCTTTGAACGGTGCAACCCATAAGACGGGCTTTGTAACGGCATACTTCAATCCAGACGCATGCTGGGCGTTCTCAGCAGCCTGCGTGTGCGAACGTGCTTCATGGGGCATCTTGGGTTTCGTCGTACGGCAAAATCCGTCGAGTGACGCGCCTCCAAACTCTGCCATCCAGCCTGCACTCGAGCCACAGGCCACAGGTGACATACCTAAACCGCTTGGCCTAGGAAATCTGAGGTCAAAGAGGTGCATCTTCCAAGCCTTCCAAGAAGGTCCAAGATCCGCGATGGACCATAAGATGAAGTGTTTGGTCATCATCTACTCGTCCCCTCTCGCCACCACACTAGCTCCATTCGGCCGGTCCGGCCGCCTGGCTGCATAGTCCTTCATGGCTGCGTAAACCTCCTCCTTCGGAGCCTCCTGGCAGTGTGCTGCGTCTGATGGCCCATGAGGTGCCAGGTGAACAGCCTTTGTCCCAGCGCTGCAATCGGATCATTAATTAGCTCCATTTTGTGCATAGGTGCAATGTCGCCATGGAAGAGATACTTTCTATGCCTGCTGCAATGGAAGTGATCCCACAAGGAACTCATCGTTTGCACCATTCAACGAGAAATTGTGACCCGATGTTGGCAACCTCACCGACGGGAAGACGTCTTCCCCATCCACATCCATCCACAATGGGAGGACCTCACAAAACATGCAAATGACATTCTTCCAGGACCTTCAAAGTGACCTCTTTGGAGTCTGTAAGTGACCTCTTTAGGGACTAAGTGACCTCATCCTGGGATATAATATGGTAAAGACATGTAAAGACCCAGTGTCAAACCCAGTGTTATGACAATGAACCGAGCTCTGGATGTGGCCTCCAAAATCTTTCACTCATGATACTCATGCAACAAGCAGCAAGTGGCAGCAAGCAGTGTGAAAACGAATTCCCGACTTCTGACCTCAAACCTCAAAATGATTGAATATGATATAATGATATATATATATATATTGAATGCAACATCCCCCACTCACTCGAAAACTGACTCTTCTTGACCAAGGATTAGGAAACCAGTCCCAACATCTCAGACCAACAAATCCTTCAAAACAATGCAGCCGCACAGCTTTCCCAGGGCGAGGAACTCTGTGTGCCCCTAGTTGTGCCGCCTGTCGGCTCTTTTGCCATCCCACCAAAGGCTGGCATCTAAGCTGGAGGGCCTATCTCTCAATAATTCCCAGCCTCTAGCAAACACCAAAGCATGCAACTTCCCCAAATGGGAGTTCTGCCTCTTCCAACCGCACCCTTCTTGGCAACATGCCAAAACCAATGCGAACCTGTCCTGGCCACTGATGAGCTTCTTCGAGGCAAAGTTGATGCGCAGCCTCCGGACCGGGCGAAGGTTGTGGAAAATCAAGCTGGCCGCCCACATTACCATTGATTGGGCATCACTTTAATCAATGGCTGCAATCTGAGCTGGCTGTGATCTCGGCAGGAGTTGTGCCCTCGATCTGACAAACATGAGTGGATAAGTTCCACTTTGATCCACTTTGTATAAATGATGCTTTATGATGCTTTTGTTGGAGGGGTGGCTGTGTCAAGTGATCTTCCAGTGATTATTGGCAAACATCTGGGCAAACAGCCAGCAGCGGGGGCGTCGTATCATGCTATCATAGAGACGCCTGAAGATTTCTCGTTGGAGATCTCACCAAGTCTAGATGGCCAGCGAAGCCAGCATCTGGCCGAAACAGCCGTAGGAATACCGACCAAATTGCTCGTGAGTCCAAGTGTTGAACTGATCCAGTCCAAGTTCGCACTCGGGCAAAGCGGAAGCACGTGTTACCACATGAACAGACGACTGTTTCTCAAGCTCTCCCCCACTTGCTCCCTTCACTTCGACCCACAAAAAGCCCACCCTCCGCGCCCATGCATCGATCCCCTCGACGTCGAGGACATCGCCGTCGCGACGCGCTGAGGCGCCCACAGCGAGTCGCTGGGCGCCGAGCGCCAGGCACCGTAGATCTTCTTGGACCTCACGACGGCGGTCGACGCGGCGTACAGTAAAACTTAAAAAGTCCATGTAAATGGGCAGCTTCCCTCCTTGGATCCCAAGTGCACCTTCCTCTCCATTGACGAAAAATGTGTAGATTCTGCTGCGTGTATGTTTTGAAACTGGTCCGCGAACGGTGCCTTGGTTCAGGCTAATGCAAGACCCTCAATGATTCACTGGAATGTTCCGGGATTGGCGAGAGCAACCAACAAGCTTTGGCTCCATACACACTGATTGAGAATTTATATATATATATATTTTTGGGGGGGAGTTATTTTATATATTTATATATGTCGGGTTTCTCCATAGATGTGGTGGGCCCCAAAGAGGATCAAACATGATCAAACCGTCCCAATCGGCTCTAGTTGGACATGGGTTGACGACTAGGCACACAAGCGCCCGGCGAAGGCTCTTCAACGACTCATCGCCTGCGAAGACTGGCGGTGTTGACTTGGAAGAAGGATCCAGCATGGCTGAGGATCACAACACCACGGTTGACCACCGCGCATGAGCAGAATAACTCCGAGGGAAGTCAACCTACCAGGATTTGGTGGGGGGAAGTTTCGACTCACAGCCAAGAAAAGGTACAATGATCTCTGCATGTTTGTTGGATGGCTTGGAGATGTGTCATGATCCGGCAGGCAAGGCTTGCCGCTTCACCCTCCAAGCAGCTGCTGGTTTTGCTGATCGAAAGCACAGCCTGGCAGCCTGCATGGATGGACCAATGGACATCCAGGCTGCAAGACATTGTGGATGCATCATGGTGCATCCACCTATGATGCTCATCCTTTCCAACCTGTGTTGAACAAAATCAACTCACTCCACAAAGACAATCAAAGACACATATATCCAAACAGCACCACGTTGCCTCAGCTTGTCCACCCTGGACCCCAGAAAGTGCCACATGGGAGGATCATAGAATCATAGACAGCTACCCCGCCATACAACATTGCACACCCAACTGGAAGGCCGTCGCTTTTTGCACATCCACTGCAATCCGCTGTCTGCTGTGGCCTGTGCAAACGAAGGCTCGGCGCGTATCGCGCGTATCGAGCCTTCTCTCTCGTCGATTCGATCCCGTGGCATCCCGTGTCTCTTTCTCCGTGTTAGCATGATATAGGATCACAGTTCGGATCACGTGAATCTTCAGCCTGCAAATGGATGGGAAGGCGTCCAAACGAAAGGCACAGCTACGCGCGCGGCGGTTGAGGATCAAACGCAGGGCGTCGCTGCTTGAGACAAGGTCGTCTCAAGCAGGCTCAGGAGGCCTTCTGGACACCCGCGCGAAGTCGTTCAGGTAGGCCGGCAGCATCAATGAAGTCGTTTTGGCGTCCTGAGAGGATTGCGGGCGACAACAAAACTTCAAGGGTGTCAGTATAGATCTGTTGAATCTGCTAAGTTGTCTCAGTGAACATTCCAGTGAGAGGGCGAATAGTATGCGCGTTTCCTAAATGTCTGTCGTAGATGTCTCATTTGCACCTAAAGGCTGCGTAACGCACTACATGATTGGACCGGGTCTTGTGCCGTGTGGGACTGAAAGCCATGCAGGATGAGAAGGCCTTTCCCATCGAGAAGGAATGCTGGGTTCTGCCGTGTGGGAATGCAGTGTCTCTTCTAACCACCTGAATGTCGCAACATTCCCCCTCCCACGCCCGGCGGTACATGGTCCATCCACATCTGGCCCACCGATACAAAAACAGAACCGTGACCGTCCGTGCTAATCTAGATCTGGAGGGGTACAAAGCGTCCGTAGGATGCGAATAGACATGTAAACAACCCGCAGCAAAGGGCCAGCCAAAGGTTCTCATCTTGAGACGAAATCATCAGCACATTGGACTCGACCTCTGCATCCTCCATGTGCCTAGGGAGGATGTTCCGAGCCATTCGATTGCAACATGATTTGGAAGTCAACGTGGCCAATGTGCAAAATTGTGCAAAGGCTAAAATGGCCACATCATGCGCCAGTGTAGATTTTGGGTTGACCATGATTGAACGTTGAACATTTGAAGACTGTCGGAGAACACCCTAATTTTCAGACTTTTTGCACAACATCCACAACCCAGCACAGAAACAATTCAACAATCAAAATCTTCTCCTCTCGTGCTTCGCCCGTTGATGTACCCCCAATGGTGTTCCAGGTGGAAGTGGTACAGGTGGCTTCAAGGCATGAAAGATCCTGAAAGTATGGGCAGTATGGGATCTAAAGATTCCACGTCCAATTCCCATTGCTACGGCAAGCACCCATCAACGGAGTTCCAGTGGAGTTGTCATTGTTGGACACGGAGTGATTGAGTGTGGACGATGGGCCATCGGCCAAAAACACCACTGGGCCACCGACATGGAACTCCTGCGGAGGTTCAACGTTTCCCTGGGGATCCAAGTACCTTCTCCCACCGCCAAACACCTGGCGGTGGGAGAAGGTACTTGGATCGCTGGCGTTTCATGGCGTTCCAAATCCGATTTCGGCCGCGTTCTTCCCCCGCCGCCCTGGAACAGCGCGCTTCTTGCCGCTTCGTTGCAAGGATACGGCAATGGGGCCAGGGCTCCCTGCACCGGTGCTTTCGTGTTGAAAGCCAGTGACTGAGAGGCCGGGTCTGATTGGAAAGCACATGGATGGCGTCCACTTGGCTCCTTGCACTTGGCTCCAACGTCCACTTGGCAACTCCCCTTTTTTTGCCACAACTGATGTTGGAAACCCTTAACTGATCACGCCCCGATAGACTGCACCATTTCCACACATAAGTTGTTTTTGGTTGAAATGGTACACAAGGCAATCCAAATCACCCGGTCCCACAAAGCTTTAATAACAAAAAACGGCGGTTCCCATCGTGCCTTCGATGCTTCCGATCGGCGTCATCGTTGAGGGAGATCTTCCAGGCAAAGGCTCACGGGAGCGCCAGCGTGGGGCCAGGGGCTCCTGCGCTGAGCTTCAGTCATACAACAAGGAAAGGAACAAAAGAAAACCTCTTCAAAGTCTTCAAGCCAGCACAACCGTGAAGTGCGTGAAAATGTCGTTACGGACCATCTAATTATCTATGCCCCACCCACACGAGCCAGCTTATTGCTGCTTACGTTCGAAAGCTGCATCTGCCCATGTGACACGTGTGCACCTTAAGGGCTATGTGCATCAACTTTCGTAGCAATACAGGCCCTCCCTACACTCGATTAACTAGCATTGAAGAAATGAACAAACCCAGCATCAAACAAATCTTTTATAGGCATAGAGAATTGAGATCATCTACTATCCTGACTGGTTGAAGGAAGGCACGCCCGTAATGCCTGCTGCAAAATGACTTAGAACTTGGAACTTACTAGAATATAGTGTATAATATGCAGTTCTGGTTGCTCCACTGGGCCCAATTCCTGCCTGGGCGCCAGTTATACATAATAGTCTCAAGTATCAGTGGAGGGATGTGGGGACCTTCAAATATTGGCTGTAAATGGGATGTATGTGTGTGTGACATATCAAAAAGTAATGAACTGGAAGTCTGCTTTGCAAGCTCTTGGCACTGTGCCAGGGCAAGTTTGGCGAGGTTCCACCTGCAAGTGTGCCCGGACAACCTCTTAATTGTGTGCGATTGGTTTGGACTTCCGCTGGGAATGGATGAAATTAGTCAACAAGCCCCAAAAGTCCCCGTTCGTCTGTCAACTCTTGTGCAGTGGAAGGTTGCAGCGAAGACTTTATGATGCATTCTCCAATCCTCCTAGATTCTCCTAGCTTCGTGCCCAAAACACCTAAATCCCCACATGTCACCCTTCTGGTCCAACCCGGTCGCTGAAAAAAGGGTGGATAGAACCCGCCGAAACCGTCCTGGCGCCGCTCGCCACAAGGAGCTGGCCAGGTTTCGACCAGGACTTGCCAGGTGGAACAGTCCATCTCAGCTGAGGGATCAGTTGAAAAGCCGTCTCCATCTGCGTCTCTGGATGTTTCTGGTACATTGGTCTAGTTCTGACCTTTGGCGTAAGGATAGGTGTGGATCACCAGCTGGTTCTGCTCGTTCCACAATGTTCACTGATTGAGGGTGTGGATGGTCTAGTTCTAGGGCTGAGATCACCTGGGGCTGACCCTGCATGTGGACCTGGATTTTGGGACGCACCCAGCACCGGTGTGGTTGAAATACTTGAAACACTTTTGATTGTAGATCCAAATGAAATCAAATAGATAGAAACGGTGTCCAATACACGTTGAAAGGGGTTTTACTCTTCTATCCATTTGGATGTCTACACACACATGCGCCCACTGATCGCTAAGGACCCACATCCACCTTCGTGGGACTCTCAAGAAGAAAGGTCACGGTTCAGTGCCAAACCATCTTGGTACCCAGGAGATTCCAGGAGTCGTTGTGCCTGACCCCATCAGCAAGCTGGTATATGGAGAAAAAACCATGGCCACCACAAAGATCCACAAAGGGGCCTTTGCTCTGGACTCATTCCCCTCTTGAGGCACATCTGCTTGCTTTTTCGCAGTCCATCTTGGGTCGATATCCAAAGATATTCTCGTGAACATTCTAGCGTCCACACACAGGGGCTTCGAGGCTTTCATTCAGAATCCACAGTTGCTGATGTGAGTCAATCTTCCAGCATTGGCTCCTTTCACTGGTCTAACGGCACGTTCGTGCAATTGAAGGAGTGCGGACAGGACAGGCCCTATGGCTCATTGTGCGCTCAAGTCACCTACCAATGAGTCGCAAAAAGAAAGTAAAGCAAACACCAAAAACACACAGGAACACCTCCCCAACATGATGGGCCAGTCTTAGACAGCACTCGTCTCGCCAAGCCGCCGGGACGGCCAGGCAGCTTTCAAGAGTCCTAGGACATCTCTGCAGAGCCAGTCGCGATAGAGTGCGATTGGACTTGCAACGTCTAGAAGCACAAAGCGCGAGGGGTTCGCCCTCGACAGACTCTTCACCATGACATGTTAAAGTCTTACTGCAGGCTTCAAGAGATGTGACCCAATGTGTGCGGCCCACATGTGTTGCTTTCCACACACCCAGCCGAGCTGCACAAGTGCTGATCTTAACTCTGAAACGTCCACGTTCTCAGGCAGCTTCGCGGGGAAGGACACCACTAGCCGCCCGCCCGTCTCGCGGGAACGGCCCGCAGAAGGCCCCGGTCTGAGGAGAATCCTGGTGCGGGACGCGGACCGTGAAGGGCCCAAGTGGATTTTCCACATGCAGAAGCGGCAAAGCATGCTTAGCATGCTATATCTTCTGTTCTTTATGCTGAGCATGCTGCACATGTTTGTTTTTGTTGGTATGTTGTGATGTTGTGAGTGCTTTGCAAATCACATGCACAACCTTCGCATCATGAGAGTGGCCACTATGATCGCCTGCTTCCCTCTCACCCAGCCTACCTTCCACAAATAGAGCAGCGTGACCGCCCAATAAACTTGTCAGCGTTTTTCATAGCTTTTGTTTCTATTACTGCTGTTGGGCAACCATTGACGAATTGACGATTTGTCTTCCCCTGTATAGTGCTACTGAAGCAGCAGCACCCACCAACTGTTCCAAGCTGCGGCTATCCCGGCTTCCGCTAATGTAACTAAGCCGCCCCCCCCCTTTGGCTTCACACTTGGGTCTGATGGTTGCTTCCCCCGCCCCATTGATCATGTGTAATCTAATAGCCTAGGTGCGTCACTGACTTGATCCGGTCGCGGTTCAGAGCTGGACGGAGGGATTCGCACAGGGAGACCACGTAGTCCTTGCAGGAACGAGGAGCGGGACGTTCCCGGGCGTTCCAATCCATGGCTCGACGGGACTCTGGAAGCACAAAACCAAAAAAAGTGAGGGACAAAAGAAACAACAAATCGCACATTGAAACATATGGAAGGTGAAACATGTGAAAAAGGGACCATCCCAAGGCCAAGCCCTTGGCCAGTTGCACGGGCTTGGTACGTGCCGTACGTGCTGAATCATGGGTGTATAGTATGGGGCTAGTTTCAATCAACCCGTGGCGACACAACAATCTGAAGCTTTTGTCACGGAAATTCGAGACGGATCGCAAATGGAACGGAGTAGCTACGCAGTTCTTGCCCCCACTTTCCCCGAGAAAAACAGCTTCAGCCAAGAAGTTTAACTTCTAATTACTGGAGAGATTTGTAGGTGGCAGCATCAAGCTAAAGCGGAAGAGTGAAACATAATAATATTAAACCTCAATCAACCTCAGAACTGGCTGCGTTGGCTCAAGCCTGCTCAAGCCTGGCTTAGCCTCTCCTCCACTTCGACACAATGGCTCCACCAAACATCGGCACCTCGGATCCGCTTCGGACGGTGGTCCGTCCGTTCGGGAGGGATGAACCTCTCAAGAGTCTGACCTAGACATCCGTAACGGATTGGGCGTTTGGGCTGGTCCATGACTCATGGATGGGACAAGTCCATTTCGGCTTTGGTTTGAACAGGTCAGCTCAAACAACCAGATCGGGCATTCACAATGAAGGGGGGGTGGTACCGCCGTTGGATTTGCTTCCAAGTTTGCCAGATGTTGCCAGCACGTCTGGTTTGTGTATATGTCAGGCGAGGAATGCAAACCAAACGGACATCGGCATTGTTTCGTGATGGGGCATGGCAAACGCTGGCAGTTGCCGACGGCCAGCGTGGTAACTATGACCGACAAGCTTGGTGCTGTGGTCTCATGTGGTGAGTGTGTTTTTTCACCAGAGTTGTTGGCCATTGCTTGTGTTGCGGTGCTGGGAAGTTCATTTTTTCTCCAAGATGCACCCCATTCCAAATCCACTCCACTACTGCAAAATCGCCGCCAAGGGCCCACGATGGATGCTACAAAGTGTGAATGATCACTTGATGTTTCTTGTCACAATTATAACACCCTTGATCATTCCAGTCAGTTTGAACATTTGGACGCTGCACTAGGACCTACAGTCTCAGTCTATGTATATATATATATTTTTTTTGTTCAAAACAAACCATTTCCCCGTCAAACCACGGAACTAGTTACTAGATTTACTAGCGAGGCGCCCAAACAGCGGCAGCGATGAAAGCTCTTCGCGTCGTACAGGCCTTGAACCTGGCTGCATTCAGACTAAACTAAACAACACCCAGGAGTGGAGCTGCTTTTTGGTGCACCAAAGAGTGTGCAACCTAGAAAAAGGGGCACACTGTCAGAAAGTAGCCAAGACAGGTGTGGAGATATCAAATCATGAAGTGTTGCTTGAGGCTCTTCAGAGCCACGTCTTCAATTATATAATTACATATGAAAAAATACATCCCGTGTCCTCGGTCCTTGAGGATTGCAAAAATGGCGCACTGTAAGAAAAGCGACAACTGCTCCGCAGCAGGCGTGATCGGCATGGCTGTGCACCAGCCATCTCAGCCATAGAAGCGACCCAAAGCACAATACACAGCGGAATTCTGCTGGCATGTTCATGGTTCTCAGTATTATGCATGGGCAGCCCATGGTCAATGTCCTTTCCTTACAGGAAGCACCTGGACGGCATAAGGCATACGTGGCACAGCTACACATGGTTCAAGACCCTGACAGGCCATGCTGGGCTTCAATCCGCAGCTTGCGTCAAATCACCATCCCAGCAACACACGCACACACACATATATATATATATTCTAATAAATATGCAGAATGTCTCTCTCTGTTAATATATAAATGAGCGTCGGACAATATTACTTATTGCCCGCAAACGACGTTCATAATTTGGGTGGGCCCTATCGGTTTTCAGGTTTCGGCATCTCTTTAAATGTATTTTGGTAGTACCCTATCGGTCTCAGGTTTTCCTATATCTACATACAACTCTTTGGGGTATCAGTTTTGGGTAGGCCATCACCCATGTTAGAGGGTATCGGTTTTGGGTGGGCCCCTATCGGTTTTGCAATCAAATCACTGTTTAAAAAACGATGTCCAGCCGAAGGCTACTGCTGACTTACAGTAATTCTGTCGAGTACTCATATATATATATATATATAATATGCTGCTCATTGGTTCTTCCTGGCCATGCTCAAGCCGAAACAGGATTGCTTGGGCCAGTTTGGGAAGCGACGAAGCGATGGAAATTCTTCGCATCTTGATATCAAATAATATATCCAACAAGGCTTAGACGTCTCGGATGGACAGAACCAGCTGAGTTGGGGGAATCTGGTCCATGTAGCGCACAACCGGTGGACATGCTCAGACATGCCCCCAGAACGAGGTGAGAAGCAGGTGAAGTGGCCATCTGGTCAGTTCTGGTGCAAGATCCAATGGAAACACGGACCTTAGCTACCCCAGCCACAGTTTCATTTTGTCCAACAGTGCTGGCCAAGGCATATGGGTGAATAGTGGATCATGTCCAAGCATTATAATTGAATCATGTCGGGGAGCCACGGCCTGCCCTAGCCGGCCACAGGAACAAAAATCCCCTCGTGCACCTGCATCCAAGGGCGCTTCCCCAGCCACTTGCAAGGTGCGCCTGTCAGGGCCGACCAAGGTCTCCGACCCTTTTCGGGTGGTGCAATGGAGGATCGGTCGCGCCCATTGGTTTATGGAACGCTGGTTGTCTTGTCGAGCATAGAGCATGTAGTGAACAGGATATCTACTTAAACATCCTAACTCTCCTATCGCCTAACTCCCAACAGCCATACCACTTTTCAGACCAGTTTCAGCCTCTCCAGGCTTCGGAACAGCCAAACGCAGCTGCACGACACCAGTGGACCAGCGTGCCTGTTGGCAGTGCCATCGCAAAAAAGGGCCACCGCTTCGTCTAGCTCACCTGGGTAGAAAAATAACTGATTGGGCGTGCTGCAGGGAAGGTGGTAGGGCTTGGTAGGGTTCTTATGGTAGGTGGGTTTCAACTCACTTGAGCAAGTTTAAAGCACCAGTCATTGAGATCAAACCATCCCAAACAAAAATTGACCATAAACGATCTCAAACCACCCAGGCTTTGGTCTTGGACGTTATCGTTTGGCGACATTTCAGGCACGAACTGTTCAGCTCGTCGTCCAAATAGCCTCCGCTCCGGCTCGCGCGTGGGCACGAGAGGTCAATGGATTTCTGCTGTTCACATATATGCATTGCATGGATAAAGAGTAGACGGCACAATCCCCAATGTCGGTGGTTATGTGGGCCCCCATCAACAAAAACTGAGAAGAGGGATACGAAAGCCAGGACAAACAAGCGGGGTACCTTTTTTCCGCGTGCGGCAATGGCCGCCAGGGGCCCGGGGATGGCTGAAGGCTGGGTCAGCTGTATGCTATGTGTCTATATGCCTGTGTGTGTGCATGTACACAGTTCTTTCAAACATGTTCCTTGCTGCAACCTTTCCTGGTCGGACAACCTTCACTGCTGTGGTGGATGTGGTTGCCCAAGGCCCTGGTCTTTCTTTTGGTTTCATACTTGGACTGCTGTCCCCACCGCTGCCGGCGATTGGCTTTTAGAGGAGCACGCAGGTGACGGCACGTTGATCAGGAAAGGTTAAGAGGCTTCCTTGGAAGCACTCAGCGCTAAACACATGGAACCGCGGTATTCTTCAGGAAAAGATGCAGACCAACAGCAGCCACGACAACAGAGGCCAGTCAATCCCCATCGAAAAGCGGCAAGGTCTACAGCAGGTGCAACAAAACCCTCTCGATCTTGAGGAAGCTCTCTCTCTCTGTCTCTCTCTCTCTCTCTCTTTCTCTCTTTCTCATTCTCCTTCTCTTTCTCTCAGCGCTTCCTCATCCTCAGGGGCACATCTTTCCTTGCGCCCACCCTCTCCGTTCCTTGCGTCCTCCACCAACACATGAGGTGCTCTGCGCTGTGTCCCATTCACAGAAGCAGCGATACGAAAGGCAAAGGAGATGATGTAACGTCGATTGTTTTTAGCACAACATGTTTTGATGGTTTGTGAATTTTGGTCATGTGCTTTTCCAAAAAATACAACTCAAGGCCATGGAAACCACTGGAGTGGGCCAGTTCTTCAGCAAGGAAACAAAGATTGCATGCCTTAGTAAAACAGCTGCAAAAAATGGCTGCAAAAAGAAATTTTGAGAAACCCTTCATCGGTTTACTTTAATGAATCCAGTCTAAACAAAGTACTGAAGCTGAAAGCTATGGTCTCGGGGAGTCATAGCATTCGTCTCGGCAGTCAGATGACTGGTCCGAGGCAATGTATATATATATATATGTGTGTGTGTGTACATAGTACATAGTCACATAATCACATAACCCTCTCAGCCATGCTCATAAGTCGGTAGGCTGCCCTTGGAATAGCCATGTGTACTACTCTCTGGTAGTAATGATGCTAGTGATGTAGTACTTTGTCAGCTTCCATCTCTTGCATCACCAAGCTACCAAAAAATCACCTCCGTGTAACAATAAAAACACCAGCAGCCAGCAGCCTTACATGGTTTACTGTTTACGTAACTCTTTCACCGTCTCCCCCCTCAACGAACTACGTTGCATCTTGGAGTTTGTGCCATCCACTCTGAAACCAAAGTACCAGGCCTGTGTAAACACAATAAACTTTAAACGGATCTCAGCAACTGACGAAGAAGAAAACTGCGTGTGCACCAAACCAGTACCTACATGTCAGTTGATAATGCCTGGCTATCTTGTTTCTGGGCTCCCGGAAGCATCGTGACCGTATGTGACCACACCATATGTATGGAGCCCAGGGGCTGGGCCTAGTCGGCGCAGGATCTCCTCACACAACTGTGGGGAATCCGCCAGGAGGAATGGCCCACCTGGCGCGGTGATGGACACCCGCGAGCGAGCGTCACGGAGCATCGGCCCCAAACCGCCCTCAAGGTGATGGTTGTTCAATTGCCTCATATACCCTCATTCAATGCCGTCCGAATAACTCACCTACCAATGTTCATCTTCTCTTTTCGAATCCATGAGGCTCAACTTAGATGTGGTCGTTTGGACATGTTCACATCACCTGTCGGAGATGAACGATACTAATTATATAAACCGTTAAACCATTGGCTTTTGATGGCTTTTGTATGCTTTTGTTTAACGCCTCTGGGCAGGGAGGTCAAAAGGCCAATATCGTTGAGGCTTTTGGGTGAAAACCACACGCCGTGCTTCTCCCAGGACAGCTGGCCGCGACGGTCCAGACCGGCCAGCTAGGCACTTCAGTGAGGCTACACTTGGGACCGAAGGACTGACTCTCTAAACGAGTAGGAAAGAAGAATTGAGCACTACCTACTAGTGGTGTAATAAGTAAGCAGTCCTTACTAGTAGTGGGGTCCTTACTACTTACTTAATGTAGACAAGATGAATTGAGCACTGGGCTTTTCAAAGGTCCTTCAGAGTTTGTGAGGTCCGCAGTCCACCATGTTGGTTAGCCCGGATGTGACCCTAGCCAAGCCACCTTCCAAATTGGCGGACAACACTTTATCTCCGTAACAATCCCAGTCAATAGAATCTGCTGGCCAGCGGCCTCCCAATGAAATGGAGCGGCAGTCGGCCGTGCCATACTTTGCAATGACCTCCTCGGAGGTCCCGGCCATGAGGTGTGGATTCTTTGGTGATCAGGCGAGCCTGTTCCCAGCCAAATATCACAACCATGAGGATATCCTCCTACGCGGCTACCATGTTTTCAACTCTCAACCCCGCACATGACCTCACAAAAAGATTGCCTGACTGCAATGGACGACTCACAACTCCTCCATCATACCCAGCCCCGTCCTTAGTGGCTTTCCCCTTACTGCCCACCGGCATCACAAAGGCCATCTCCCCACGTGACGGGCTCGGGCTCGGCCTTTCGGCGACGGTCTCCGCGTCGCCTCGGTCGTCAAGGAGTACGAAACCAGAGTAGTCAAACAACTGGGTGTGGGCGGTTTCAACAACTGTTTCAACATGTTGCAAGGCCTGACTTGCACATGTGGGCGAGGTTGGAGGTCATCGCTAGTAGGTTGGAGGCCATTAGTTACTAGTAGCAAGAAGCTACTAGTAGCGATGCCCTTTCCGAACATATTGTCCAATTTCAAGGGCCCCACAGTCAGGGCATCCCCTGTGGCGCTATCTTGAGCGAGCTGCATCTGAGGCGATCCTTCAGCTGGTGCAACGGATATTGTGCTGGCCAAACTGTCAGGGCTGACGGTGGATGTGTAGGGTTCTGGAACCAGAACCTGCCCAGGGCGAGCCGTGTGATTCGATGCACCAAATGGGGAAGCACTCCAGCTGGCCAATTTCATCCAATTTCCTTGATGCAATGCATTTGATGGTTTTGAGTCAAGACCATTCAAGACCAGGATACCTTGCTTTAGCTACGCGACGTGCGCTCCGAGTCTGCGCTTCCGCCCTTCAGGGTGCGTGCTGGGGAGTTGGTTTAGCTACGGAGGTCAAGTTACATGGTGTTGGGGCTGCGGTTTTTGACCCATCCCCACATGAGAGCAGCTCTTTGTTCATGGAAAGCTGGGACATGCTGGGACTTGTCATGTCTTTTCCACCCTTCACCCTTGCCTTGCAACTCTCCAGATTCTCCAGTCCCTCTGCACGGGTTTTCAGAGGACCTCCAAACACCACCAGAAAAAGGCTCCACCCAGCATCCCCACGCCGCGTCCACCAGCATCACCACGCGTCGCTCGCCTCGCGATGGCCGGCGCGATGGCGTCGCGGGGGGTGGTCATGAAGCCCAGCTCCAGGAGCCGAGCCACCAAGGCCGTGATGTCGGGCAGCGGTCCACGCTGCTCCTCCTGGAGTCCGAGCGTGGACCGATTGGTCCAGCGAGGAGGGTGACCAATGTGATGTATGATATCCGCTTATCAAATGTGCCAGTTGAGAGGTTGAGAGACCAGAACTAGGACCCCTGTATGTGGTACATAATGGTACATATGGGATGGGCGATTTACAGGGCTTCTCTCAACCTCTCTTGGTGGGTGAGCTCTAGAAATGTGGAAGACGCTCTGACGCCAAGAAAGGTGGGTGAGATCCATTGAGCCGCTCTGAGCCGCAGAAGAGCCCTGAACTGCTGATGAATCAAACATCATGACTACCCGTCCAAAGGGAGATGTAAAACCATTCTGCGGGATGTGGGGATGCGTTAGATGTTGTAAGTTATTTAAGTTATGCAGTTCACATTGCCACTCCAGCGACTCCACATCTCCTCAGGGATGGACTCCACGAAGCCACCGACTCCGGCGCTCGCCGGTTGTGGCGGCTCCAGCACCGCGCGCATCAGCGGCGAGCGGAAGCCGAACCATTTCACCTGTCGGTCGGGTTCCTGGGAACTGGATGATCCTGGATGTGTCTTGGGTATACGTCTTATCTATGAGCAACAGTGGATGATTCATGATGATTGTTAGTAAATGTTAAAAAGGCCTTGTTCAAAAAATAGTGATCATTCTTGACCGACTCTTACTGGCGGCACCCACGCCCTAGAGGCCGGAACAAGAAGCCACTAAACACCCTGACAGGCCCCTTACTTTTCTCCATGTATGCCCACAAAGAGCAACCAAAAGCACTCACCCCCATGCTCTAGTCTTCCAAAATCTTCCAAGTCTAAGTTCATCTCAATTGAGTTCAAGCTCCGGAGAAGAACCAACGATTCTCCCAATTGCAAATCTAACTCACTTCCATAGCCATGCTCCAATTTGAAAGGATCGAGAAAAGGATAGAAAAGGCACCTCAACCCAAAAGACCTCCGCGCCCAAGCGGGCGAACTGCTTTGAGAGGCCCACGGACTCGGGACAGCGGAAGGCAGGGCCTTCTAACAAGACCTTGGAGCCCAAGAAAGCAACACATGTGGTTGATGGGCAAAGTTTCAGCACCCGCAGGTCCAAAACCCTGGCTGTGAGGGTCAAAACCCTGGCTATGAGGGTCCAATGAGCCTTTGGGTAGGGAAGAATAGGATATGATTATGCTGGTATTTTTGCGGATTGGGGATCATGAGGGGTTAACTGGTGAGATAGCCCAACATACTCTTGATGAGAAAAGGTTACAGTCCGAGGTTGGGTTCTCCCATCCTTGCTTGATGTTCCAATGATGATGTTCGGCCAAGGAAGCCACCAGTGTACAAACAAGCATGTTCCACCCCACTCCGGGACCCAAAGCAAATCAACAGACCCAGGCAATTCTATGCAGCGATTCAAACTTAGCCCAAACAAAAACAACTGCAAATTCCAAGCGATTCAAAGGAACCAAAAGGATTTCAATTGGAATCACGAGGATTTCAGGTGGCAACATGCATTTTCTCTTGGAGGATGGATGGGACGAATTCATTGCGGGGGTTGGGTGAGGTGCTGTGTGGGATTCCCGTTTGAGGATGAACACATGTGTGGAGGTATGACGATTTATAAGGGGATACTCTGGCAATGGTTTTAGGATTCGGGTGGGTTTCGGGGGACCACTAGTGCTCTGGGTGCAGTGAGGTTCTTCTGAATGGGCAACTGCCAAAGGCATCAGCCAACAATGAGCCAGCGTGAGCAACACGTTTTAAGATGTTTTATGGTGTTTGAATCGTTTGGGAGCGTGTGAGAAGACATTGGCTAATGAATAGGCTGACTGAGGGATAGAGGAAGTTCAGAATCGAAGAGAACAAAAAAAGGCAACAAAAACAAGAAACACATGAAACAATTTTATAGAGGTGCTGCATAATCCCCACAAATGGAGATACACGCCCAGGGGTTGATCCTACAGGCCGTAGCTCCGTAGCTGCATTAGCGAGTTGGCTGGGTGTAGTAATATTTCAAGTCTTCAACCCAAACGGGAGACCATACCCAAACACTCCATGGGACTGCCATCATATATGCCTACATTGGGGTGGTTTTGGGGGTCAATGTAGGCATATATGGCAGTCCCATGGAGTGTCTGTGGTACAACACAAAGCCAAAAACTAAGGACCTTCAAGTTGTGACCGAACTTGAGATCCCCAGCAGTCACTTAGTCACCTAGTCCCGAGAGAGAGGCCACTCTCTGAGACTCCATTTGGAGGTCAAGTTGAAGGTCCTGGACGATCATGACCATCCTGGATTGTTTATATATTATATTAATATATATATATATATGTGTGTGTGTGTGTGCTTTTTTGAGGGGGGCGTTGTTTGTTTGTATGTTTGTACCTGAAATGGAAAACCTCCCATGGCCAACGAAGATAGCGCAACAAAGGCAAAAGGGTCTGGCTGAAAGACACCACGAGCCAAAAGCCCTGCTGAAGCTGCGAACCCAAAAGCAGTAAGCTGGGTCGGCTAGGTTCCCATGTTCAGCCACCTTGGACTCCCAAAGCTCACTACATTATAGGAACTCGGCTTTTTCAACATGTCCACTCAATACCCAATCCAAATTCTGTTCCCCAAGGGACATACATGAGTTACATGGGGATGAACACCCCTTTTCAATTGAACCATGCGCCATGCGCATGATGTGGCGCTGCAACAATAGCTTGACAAACATAGCTCACCTCTTGGTTGACACGTCTTAAGACATGTCCTTTTCAATCTTCCAATCGAAGTTATGGACTATTTGCCTACCTTGATGCGTTTTTGAGATGTTTTTAAGGGTCAATGTATAGGAACATATTCCATGCATGGATTTGTTGGGGTATGACATCTGGCTGTGAACCCCCCTGGTTCAGCTCCCCCAAATTCGCCCTGCCAGCGACCGCGAGGACCTCCGCGTCGGTTCCGAGGAGCCACTGGACCTGCAGTCTTTGTCGTTTCGCGCATGCATCACATGCAATGGCTACCCTCTGCTCAGCGTAAGGCAAACATACTAGAAATAGAATCCTCAACCTGTGCAAGTGGGTTCTAGTCTATGTTCCTTCTTCCAAGGATAAGTCTGTGGAGGGAGACCCCTATGTTGCACACCGGTTGTTTTTTGGGGAACACTCATCCTAATTTGTGGCTGTCCTTAGTTATTCGCAGATGCTATATGATGCTGCTACCAGCTCCATGCCGTGATGGATTTGGAACAAACAGTAGGGTAGGGTGGCCCGTGGTCCACTTACTGGATGCCACACGGGTCTCAAAATCAGTGGAACTTCTGGTTCGGTTGATGTCCGTGGTGAGATGGGCACACGCAACTGCTCCTTCCTGTCTTCGCTTGACATGAAGGGTGGGGGTCCATGCAAATCATTGAGGTTGAGATTGCTCACATCTATCTACAGTACTCCAGTCATCGTCGACCGTACGGTTGGTGTCCGGTCGACCTAGTCCATTTTTGGGTCACCGTCACCAGCCTGGAACACCTGAAAGGGGGTTCCTGGATCTAGAGGCGAAGGTGCAGCCGACTGCAACGGTCCAAGTGGCCAACTCCACAAAATCCACGTCCATATTGGCATCGTGGGGGCTTTCTGGTCGTCCCGCACGCTCTGAGGGCATCAAGGCAACATAGGTAGACTTAGACCTCCGCGTCGAGGACGGGGGGCGTAACATTGATCAAGCGTGAACACACCTCGCCTGCCAAAAGCCAAATAGCTGCTCGCAGCTTCAATCAACTACTGTAACTATATAAGCAAGGTGTACTAGTGTACTGTATGTTGGGACCCTTTGCCTTCCTCCCGGAGTTCTGTCATGAACGATGCCAGTATATAGCTAGGTGTTTTTCAAAACCTCTGCGTGCAGATTAGAAACCGTGATCTCAACTGCGGTTGTGCATATGCGACTGAGCATTTATTTATGTAACACGGCTCTCAAAAATGTGCAAGGTGGGGCGGTCTGGTATTGCATCATGGATGGCAACTCATGGGTTTCATAAGCTTTAATGGGTCTGAATCTCCTCAATGCATGCGACCAATATATTTATATATAGATTAAAATAGGGAACCCTGCACAACCTTCAAAGGGAAATACGACTATTTAGAACTATTTAAGGCCCATTGGTTGGGGGTCTTTCTCTTACATTTACACACCCCGACCCTTCTCGCGCGTAGCGCGAACGTCCAGCTGATCCCTTCCGTCACGTCCCAGCGTCCACCGCACCGCCGCAGAGCCCATCGCCGTGCCAAACGGCGCGGACCGGGTCCCGGTGGGGCGCCGCGGACCCGGTGGCACCGCAACAGGCTCAGCTCCAGACTCGCGCAAGAACTGTTGCCAATCAGGGCGCCGCAGCCTCTGGTCTCTGGACCAGTCTCGAAGAAGCCAGTCCAAAAGGCCATGGACATGGTCGGGACATGCGACAAAAATGCGGAGAACAAAAAAAACGCCTAAACAAACCTGTGGCCGTGAGTCTGAGAATCCGGGCAAACATGTGAGGAGATGGAAAACGGATCTCCTGCAAACCATGTTCTTCCTGTCTTTGTTGCTGGGGCATCCATTTTATTTGCAAATAATTTGCCAATAATTTCCTCCACAACAATTAGGCAGTTTTCCGTTTTCCCCTTACGCAACGTTGCTCCCATTCCCGAAGCTGCATCGACCTCACAACTCATGCCACATCAAATCAAACTTTGGGTATATCCAAATACCCGTAACGGTTACGGTCAGTAACAGTGACATATAAGATGATGGTGATGTTGATGGTTAGCAAAGGCTCAAAAATACAAGCGATAATCCTTTAATTAGTGGTTATGGGCAACATTCTGTATAGATTAACTTCATGTTCAGAGGGGCTCGGCGGGGCATCCTCCCAATCAGGCGAGATTCATTCAATGACATTTGTAGGTCTAATTTAGGTCCCTCCTAGAAACAAAGTGAGAAAAGAGCTCGGAAAGCTAAACCCAGCTAGCCATGACTCAGATCTGGACACTGTCCACCTCCCATCAACTGCGGACCCGTCCTTCAGTCCTCCCAGTTGTCCCGGTCCTGGTCCCAACACGACTCCCCATGAGACGTGGACACTCCGAGGCGCCGCTCTTCAGCCGCGAAGACCCCAAGGTACACGAGCTCCAAACGCTCTGCCAAGGCCTCAGGGCTACGTGGAGCCAGGCATGGAACTCTTGAGATTGTTTGGGCCAAATCTTCGCGAACATGTTCACCAGAGTCTCAGAGTAACAATTATAACACTGACACATTATCGTGTATAGCTACAACAAATTCTATATCATGTATAGCTACACATTACCATATATATAGATATAGAATTTATCTAGTTTTAACATCAATACAATGATATTGATATAATATGTTAGCTCCCGTCTTTCACTCGCTTCACTCCTCTTCCTCTCCCATCTCGGCCTTCCAGGCTGCCCGGAACTCGCGGACCCCCTGGCCGTCCCCGTCCATGAGCACCGCCGTCTTCCTCGCCGCGCACCGAGCCACGCGCGAGCGGAGGAAGCAGCGGCCTGCAGGTCGAAGTGGATGAAGAGAGAGGCACCTGGGGGGAAGCGGATGCACCGCACAGATTCAGTTGGCTAAGCTCAGTTTTCCACATCATCTCACTGATGTTGACGAGTAACACAACTAGATAAGCCTTGAGGGTCATCGTCCCAAGATGGTGAGGCTGCTGCTAAGATTGACACGCCTTACCTTTGCCCCCATTGAGGAGAAGATTTTGGAAAGGCCCCCACATGATTAGGAAATGTGAAATAGTGTGTATATATATATATATACATATGCTTCACATTGTCGCACATAGTCAAACAGTCACACATGTATACCTACCTTGCTTCTACGGTCTTCCCGCGAATAAGCAAGCTGAGCATAGCTAAGGTGGAGAAATGGTCGAGACGGTGCCTGCAAAGCACCAAAAACATCTTCCAAATACCTGCAAATCAACTATATAAGTAATGATGAGGAAGCACATTTCAGAAAGCACACCCCAGGACACACCCCACAGTAGCCCCATCTACCCCACACATCCCCTCCGTTGGCCATCCAGGTCACACGCCCGATGCCAGCGCGGTTCCGCGAGCACACGCCGTCCACCTCGTCCACCTCTTCGCCCCGGCCAGGCGCAGGCGCGGAACCGCGCGCGGGAACGTCGGCCCCATGGCGGGCATCATGGCGCCAAGGCTCCCAAGGGAAGTGGGAAGCGTTGATCCATTTATTTTAAAGTTCATATTATGATATCGGCAGCTAAATAAAAGATATGATTGCTGCCGGAGATGTTTCAGAATCGGGAAGGAAATGGAAGGAAAGTGAACAAGTGAACATACTTGAGCCAAAGTTGGATTCGAGACGTTGTTGATATGACATCTTGACCTGGTATGGGATTTCATTGGGCTCAACTGAAATGCTTGAACACTTCGCCTGAATGAACGGCTCGATGCAGCTGAATTGATGACCTGCACACGAATCCTGTGTCGAAAGACCCTACACCTCCAAGTACCTCCTCAGAAGGTATTTGGACCCTCCAAACCCACCCCAAACACCTTCTCAGAAGTACTTGGAGGCCTAGGGAGAGTAAATATGTCTCAATCCGTCACATCGATCAAACGTCTTGTTAGGAGCTTTCCCTGACCAGCGTGACATGAAGCACTGAACATGTAAGAACTGATGTTCAATCAATCACGTCGCTTCTGGTCGCACGTGAGCGCTATACCTGCCGGTCTCGCAACGCGTGCGATGACACAAACGGGCTCTGACGCGGCTGGTGAAATGCACCAACAGCAAAATGTGAGACATGGACATGTAACATGGATCGGCATGGTGAGGCAACTTCCCAATTGGCTTTTGGGTAGCTAACACAGCGCCTCCACAACTATTGACTATTGCACAATGGTACTGTTTCTCTTTAAGTTGACACACTTGCATTCATGATCTCAAAAAATGTCGCTGGTGCCATCCATCAGGCACTCGGAGTTTCTTCCAACCACCCAACCGCGTCACGTCTTGGCCGTGACCTTGTTGTTAGGCAGCATTACCTAAGTTGAGCGTCTGAGCCAAACCTGGCTCCTTTGAGCAAGCAGCTTGCAGCTTTCAAGTATTGGATCGCTGGCGTTGGCTCAATTTGCTTCTTTACCAAAAGGGGCTTGTCACTGGCAATCGCAAGCGACACCTTTAAAAGCCAAAGGTTGCGCCCATTCCGGACCTTTGACTCTGCGTGCGTGAAACCAAAAACGGGTTTCACCGCCGCTTGCGTCTCCAACGCAAGCCGAGTTTGGAAAAGTTCAATGCATTCAGCATGGGGCGTGACGCCAGGGATTCTCATGCTTTCTTGGCCGCCTCCTTCTCAGCCTGGGTCAGCAGGCGGCCCTTCAAGGCGACCTCCTTCCGCTCGGAGAAGCGACTGTTCAAAAAGTCTGCGTGTTCCTTGGAGGCACGCGTGGGAGAACCCACGGGACCTGGAAGGAGACATGAATAGGATGCGAAATTCTACGCAAAAAGAAAGGGAACCATTGTGAGTGAGCTTTGTTGGCATGAGGGTGCAGTGCTGGTCTTTCTCATAAGCCTGTGATCTTGGAAGCACGCTCCTCTCTTCCGCGATTTCATGGGATTTCCACCACAAAAGGCTGAACAATGCCCAGGCGTCACGCATGATGAGGGTGAATTTGAAGTACTCCTCCATGACGTCCACGACGCGATCTCGGAAATCGGACTCCTGCGGCGTTCCGTGATTTCACATCCGTCACATCCGTTTTAAAAAGCAACACTCCCAAACACTCCCAGACATGACATAATAGGTATATATGACTGCATGGCTGATTCTCAACCAAACGAAGACAAGAGCTCCCGGTGGCGGTGTTGCTCTTGCTTCAGTGGTCAGAGATGAAGGGAGCAATTCAATTGACAGCAGCCCCCCTACAAAAATAATAAACTACAGAGCAATTCAATGCAATCCGGCCTTCATCCTTCCCTCCTCATCAAACTCCTGCCAGGCCTTTGGTACTGAGGACTGGTTGGTGCAGCAAGGCATGCGCATCCAGCGCGCCAAGCGCCGCAACTCATTAACCACATTGAAACTTTGACTGCCTCCGTTCACTTGAAGCACTACACAGGTGCGACCCTGGGTAGGCCTGACCGAGCCAGTGTTCAAGGGAAGCCAATCAATCTGGTTCTTGAAGGCTGCGGTCACACAGCCATGCATCTCTGGGCTGACCCACACATGGCCTTCCGACCACATGGACAAGGCTCGAAGCTCCTGGACCTTGGGATGCTCTTCCAACGCAGGATCACGTACCGGAAGTCCATGGGGCGAAAAGGTTCGCACATCGGCGCCCAAGACTTCCAGCAAGCGAGCACATTCATAGGCCAACTTGCGGGAAAAGCTGCTTGGCCTCAAGGAGCCGTAGAGAACCAAAATGCGTGGAGGATGTTTCATCTGAGCACTTGGAGCTTCGAAGTTGGCAGCCTCCTGCAAGTTGGTGCCATGCTTGTCCTCGGCATCTGCGAAAACCTCCGAGACCCAGTCATGCCCAGGTCCGCTTCCTGGTAGCTCCTTTTGACCTCGATGAGCAAGCCACCCGCCGGTGCCATTTTCCAGTGGCTGCACATCATAGCCAGCTCCATCATGAGGAAGGCCGGACATGAGCCTAAGGGACAGCAAGAGAACAGTGTGAAGTTTGAGCCCAAAGGACTGCATATTGCATGAATGACCAGAGTCTCAAAGCTAAACAACATCACCAGCTTCGATTGTATGCATCTGTTGCATCCGTACTGGAAACAGCTTGTTGTTTTGCCTTTGATGTTTTTTTGGCATAACCTGGCTCAGGACTGGGGGGGGTGCGGGATCTTGCAGCTCTCCTGGACACAATGCATCTCTGGTTGGTGTTCTCAACCCACTTGAAAAATATTAGTCAGAGGGTCCAATCATCCCCAAGCAAGGGTTGAAAATAACAATATCCGAAACCATCACCTAGATCTGTTCCAAAGCATGTCCCAGCATCAATGCACGCAGGGGCAGCTGAAACATATGTTTTGGGGGGCCAACCCTTCCTCAAACATACTGATCATGTCATCTCAAACCCAGCTCGCGCGAGGTTCGCGCGAGCGGGTGCCGCGAAGCAATTGCCCACGGCCGGTGGTCGACGTCACGTCACATCGTTCGCAGTGCCTCGTCCACCGCACTCGTGACGCCAAGGCGTGCTCGGTCACCTCACAGCCTTTGGATCTGCGCCTGGACCTGAAAGCGTCATGTGCCGGCCCCGGGACCTTCCGAAAATGGCGACGGGTTCGCCACGAACACGGACCGGGAAGGGGTTGAAAAGGTCAATGGCTGTCCAAACCAAAGCGGATGCCACGGCGCCAAAGACTCCCACTAAGACCACACACCAGCGAGTGCGCTGGTTTCCTCTGCATGGAAAAGCCGTTAAGACCTCTATGTACATCTATGTGCTATGTGTTAAGGTCTCCTGAAAGCAAACATTGGTTTCCTGATGTTCGCTGATCCGAGAAGCGTCCAAACTATTTCAAATAGGAAACAGCCAACAAAGTACACCTTTTTCTTGAGCCAAACATAACGCGTACAGTAGACATGACTATGTACAAGCAGTGAAAAATACCCCCCGCGGCGCCGCCAGGTCACTGGCAGCACCGAAGAGGCAGAAGTGCAGCCATCATAGACCTCAGGACAGGCTGCAATGCTATGTACAATATGCATGACCTACGAATGCGTTGTTGTAATGGAGAAAGTTGCAGGTGAGGTTCGGCTCCTTTTGCGCTCGTAGCGGGATGCTGCAAAACAAAATACACGGCTTAGGTTTCCACCTAGCATCACGGGAGCAATACCACTCCAATCAAGATGCCATAGGTGACTTGCACCGTGAATTACTATAGACAAGATGAATGCACTAGGCATGCCAGCCAAAATGGACACGGCAAACCTTCCGGTTCGCAACGCTGTTGAAACAGTCAGCCCAAAAGATGAAAGACGGCTAACGTTCCCGTTAGCGTAGCGAACTTGAAACTCCAATACTTCACATGCCAACATGAGAAAGAAAGCGTTCCGGCTAACGTTCCCGCTAGCATGGAAGATACACACTCCAATGGCCGAAAAGGATCTATGGATCCCACTCCCAGTACCATCCCCGGGAGGCTGTCCACTTCCACGAAAAGCTCCAAGATCCGGACCACTCTCGGTCGCCGTAGTAAACCCGCTCCTGGGCAGGCTTACCCTTACCCTTCTCCTTGCCCTTCTCTTTGCCCTGCCCCTTGTATGGCTCGGACTTATACTGCCCTTTCTGCGGCTCATATTTGCCCTTGCCCTTCGGCTGAATATCGCTCTTGCCCTTGCCTTTGGCCTTGGCTGCGCCCTTCATTGCAATGTCCTGGGCAATGGTGCGCTCGGGCGGCCCGACCACGGCATCAGAAGAGCTTCCGGCTGCACCCTTTCCCTCCGAGGGCTTCGGCACCATTCGCCACTGATGTGCGGCTGGCGCCCATGGGCGCGGGCGATCAGACTTGCCCTTGCCCTTCCCCTTGCGGAATTGGGTCCGCTGCTGGAGGCGTTGCTCGTGATAGGTAGGGCAGTCGATCTTGTAGTGCGGCCCCCCGCACACGAAGCAACCGGAGGCTGGAGCTTTTCCTTTGCCTTTGCCCTTCTTGGCTTTATGCTCGGCCTGGTCAACGGGAAAGAATCCAGATCGTAGATTCTGGTTCGCCGTCGACTTGCGAGACACCGCACTGACCTTCTTGTGCGTCCCCTCGATCACCTTCAAGCTGTGCCCAAATTCATTTGCAGCATCGGGCCAGTTCAATCGGGCGAAGGACACAAGATCTTTGAGGATGTTCTCGGCCGAGCCTTCCGGCTGGCATTGCTTATCGTTCCAGCCGATGATCACGGGCGGAGGCTGATTCTTCTGCAAGATTGCAAAGTCGACGTACGTGGCAAACTGCGCCAAGGTCAAGAACCGGCATTTGTGTGCCACGAACGCCTCATCAGCCAAATCGACAGG